CCCCCCCGCCACTCAGACTCCTCCAGGATCGGGGAGCGGGGGTTGGACACAAAGGTGGCCCAGCCCAGAAGGCCATCGCCACCTCCCGTGCCGGCCTGGACTTGCCACCCTGGCGGGAGTGTCCCCGTGGCACGTTTCTGTAACCTGCCAGCCCCTCCAGCCGGCCCCGTGGGAATGGACAGGAAACCCTAGCGCTGTCGCTGTGGGGGCCTTCCCTTCGAGGGCTCTGCCCGAGTCTGACCTTGTGTTTGGTTGGGGGCCGTGTTTGTTTTATTGAGAAAACATTTTTTTCTTTTTAAGGAAGAAAGTGAAGTGCTGTGGGCCGGGAAGAATGCTGCGGCCTCCCGTGCAGGCTTCTGGGGGAGGGCGGGGTCTGGCCGCGGGGCAGCTCGGAGCCGGCCACGTTGCTGTCCCCAGGCTGAGGTGACAGCGCGAGGTGGGGAAGGCTCTGCTGCCGCGGCCGGTCCTCTCTGGTGGGCGGCGCTCCGAAGGTGTGAGTCCCGGGGCGACCGCCGTGTCCGGTTCTCAGCTGCCCGTCAGGTCACGTGGCAGGACGGCTCCCCGTGGGCATTCCCGTGTCGTCCGTCTCCGTCACTGAACCAGCGCCAGTCTTGCTGGTTCTCATAAAGGGAGCTTGGGACTCGGGGGGCTTCCCAGTGACGACTGCAGGAGCCATGCTGGGGTCATCCTGTGTGTCGTCCGCATCACCTGTCTGGACGCTCACCTGAGCACACCTGACCGCCATGTCAGTGTCCACCTCCAAGGAGGATGGACGTGTTTTCCCTCGATTGCTTTCTCGCTTCCCCTGCCACAGGAATGGGGTGCAGATGTGAAGAGCCCGGGGCTGAGAATGAGGGCCCCGCCTTCCCGGTCCCTCTCACGGGAGAAACCCAGGCACTGGCCATTGCGGAGTTCCTGGGCTCCTGCCCCTAACTCCTGGCCCCTGGTCTCACCACCTGCCTCGCCTTCGCTGCCTCGCCTGGGCCCTTCGCACTGCACTCGGCCCCCGCATCTCGCCCGCCCGCCAGCCCCCCCAGTGTCTGGACAGGAGGTTCCGAGCTGTGTGCTCCCGTCAGCTCCGCGTGTTCCCATGTTCTCTTGCATGACTTTTTCTTGAGTGGATTGAACGTGAGCAAAGGCCGAGGAAGGCGGGGCCTGGGCTTCCCCTGAGACCATCAGAGGGAACACGCTGAGTGGAAAAGGGCAGGCGTCCCCTTCCTGCAGGCCCAGGCCCAGAGGCTGAGCAGGGTCCGCCGGTGCACTGGCCTTGCCAACCCTTCTTCCATCCATCTGATGGCCTGAGCCTTACCCCCACCCTGTTTCTTTCCCTCCTTCCGGGCCCATCATCGTCGTCGTCAGATACCTGGGCTTCCGCCAGTGGGTGCCCCAGTGGAGTCTGTCTGCTCGCTCCCTGCCCTTGACCCAGCTTTCTCAGTGTCCTTGCTCACCCCCGGCCTGGCTTCCCCTGGGCCACCACCTGCCCTGGGCTTCACCACCTGTTGACATCCTGTTTGCGCTTGAGGAACCCACTGAAGTTCCGCCTTCTCCACACAGCCTGTCCCGAAGGCCTAGAGCGCTCTTCCCTTTCCGAGTCTCCTTGAACCGGCTGGGTCCCACTCGGGCTTTGTCACACTCTGTCCAGTGCCATAGAACCAGGCTTGTGTCCTGGGAGGGTGCATGGCACCTCGCCTTCCAGTAGGCGATGGACAGCAGGCCCCGTGGCCAGGGCCCCGTGCGGAGCTCTGAGAAGGACACAGAGGTGAGGGCACAGCCTGGACTTTGCGGCCCAAGGTCTTACCAGCTGCAGTCTCTCTATTAGTGGCCTGCTGGTGGCCCCGCATACCCTAAGGGTCACGTGCGCCTTGCATGGCCTTCGGTGCGACTGTCCGCACAGCCCGCAGTTCGGGCAGCGAAGCGTGTTCCTTCGGGATCCTGGGCTGGTGAGGGCCCGACATGACCACAGCGGCCGTCGTGACAGGCAGGCTGCAGGGATGGACTGCAGGTGGCCCAGGGGGGCGGAGGGGACAGACGGTGTGTCTGAGGCTTGAAGTGCAGTGTCGCTCTCCCAGACGGTGCGTGATGTCGGGGTGAAGTGAGCAGGGGTAGAGCGGGGGGTTGGCTTCTGTGTCAGAGTGGCCACCCCTCCCCTGCTGCAGCCCAGGGACAGGTATTAGGGACATGGGGACTGAGGCTTGGCTTTTTCTTTTTTTAACCATTTTTAAAAATTGAAATATAATTCAAATAACATAAATTTCTCATTTTAGCCCTGGCCAGTTGGTTGGCCATCATCCTGTGCACCTAAAGGTTGCTGGTTCGATTTGAGTCAGGGCACATGCCTGGGTTGCATGCCCAGTCCCTGGGGCGGGGTGCAAGAGGCAGCTGATTGATGCTTCCCTCTCGAGTCTATGTTTCTCTCCTTCTCCCTTCCTCTCTCTAAAAATCAATAAAAATATTTTTTTAATTATCATTTTAAAGAGTACAGTTGAGTGGGTTTTAGTACATTCACTATGTTGTGCAACCCTCACCACTACCTACTTCCAGAACATTTCCGTCACCCCCAAAAGAGACCCCATACCCTTAGCAGTCACCCCCCCTTTTCCTCCCCCAGCCCTTGGCAACCACTAATCTGCTTTCTTTCTTCGTGGATTTTTCTGTTCTTGACATTTCATATAAATGGAGTCGTGGTCTTTTATGATTCTCTTTCTTCGCTTTGCAGAATGCTTTCAAGGCCCAGCATATTGTAACGTGTGTGGGTGTCACTATTGGTCCATCTGGCTGAGCAGTACGCGTGCCGTTGTCAGGACAGGACACGTTCTGGTGATCCATCACCTGCTGCTGGTTGGCCAAGACCCCAAAACCAGCACAAGGCCATGCTGGGACCAAACTTCTCAGCAGCCACCTTCTGGCCACCCTGGCTTTGGGGGACAGAGCCTTAGGGGGCAGGCCAGGGGTCCTCGGGTCCCTCTGGTGTGACCTTCCTAGAGGGAGCAGTGACACCCACCAGCAGTGCCCTCTGCTGACAGGCGTCACAGGGGCCCCAGGTCACACGGCCCCTCTGTCTTTCAGCATCCGCAGCGTCATGCAGAAGTACCTGGAGGACCGGGGTGAGGTGACCTTCGAGAAGATCTTCTCCCAGAAGCTGGGTGAGTACAGTGGGGGCTCCGCCAGCCCCAGGGACTGGGATGTGGAAACAGGAAGACCCCGAGGCTGGCTCCCCGGGTTTTTCCTCCCACCCACTGGGGCTGGGCAGCCAGGGAGCCCCTGGGTGACAGCAGAGCTGTGACCCGCTGTGCCTCCCAGTCCCTGGCTGTCGGCCCAGGGAGCCCTGTGAAGGGGTGGGGGCCCAGCAGTCTTCCAGGGCCACCGGGGAAGTTCCTCCTTTGGGGTTTTTGTTTTTGAGAGTCGCAGCTTCCCCTTGGCGCAGGCACAGCTGCTCAGGGCCGTTGGTAGAACTGACAGGAAGGGGCGGGGCTCTTCCTGTGGCGCCTGCCTCACTGTGGTCAGCCCACCCCGCCCCCATGGGCCCTCTTTGTGAGCAACCCGCTCGGGCCTGGTCCTCTGTTCCTCCTCTTCCAGTGCCTGTGGCCTCAGAGGGGGGACCTGGCCTGAGGGCAGGCCAGAGCAGGTCTCAGGGAAGCAGGCTCCAGGCACACAGCTCGGATGGGGCTTCAGAGAACAGGATCTGAAACGGCAGTAGCCTGGCCTGGTGGGATCAGGCTTTGAGGTCAGGCTCGGGAGCCGGCTCCTAAGGCAGCACACAGCTTGGGTACCCTTGCTGTGCTGTGTGGCCCTGGGCACATTGCTTTACCTCTCTGAGCCTGCCGGCGTCCTCACCTGGGACCTACAACGCAGGAGCCCCACCTGTGGGAGGCCCAGAAGTGATAGTGCCAGTGAAAGCCCCATGAGTTATTCAAAGGCACGATACTGATGGGCCAGGCCTCCCTATAAGAAGTGAGTCTGCACGCTCCAGAAGAGGCGCGAGGCAGTGGGGACAGTGCCCCCAAGGAGGCATAGAACACTCCCAAGTGCAAGCTGCTCACCCAGGTTGGGCTGGAGGGTGCAGGGAGGAGGGTGCAGGGCATACTTCTCCTTTGCCCTCCAAGGTGGTCTGAGGCCAGGCCTCAGGCCCCTACTCCCTGGGAGGGTGAGACCCGGCCGCAGCCCATCTCACCTCTTCCCCCCGAGTAGCTCATGACCTTCAAGGCCCCGCTCCCCAACCTTCCTTCACAGGACCTGCCACCTGATACCTGCCGGGCAGACCTCCCTGAGCCTTAGTTTCCCCCGTGGGACCTCCCCTCCCGTGTGCTGTGTCTCAGGGCTGCTGTGAGAATAAGTCAGCAGATGATGGAGGGTTATGAGGTCCAGGGAGAGCAGGCGGCCCCTCGGGGGCTGCTTCCTCCCCCGTGCCGTGGCTCTGGCCTGGCCCAGGTGAACCTGGCTGCACCCGCACAGCTGCCCGGGGCCGGTGTCACACTGTGGGAGGTGCAGTGAGAGGGCAGGCGCCCACGTGCCAGAGCCAGCCCCTGGCCTGTGACTCACCACCGTGCTGGTCAGTTTCCAGCCACCATCTGAGGAGAGATCCTGAGGGTAGAAAGGCAGGTGCCCTGACCCCGAGTCCAAGAATCTTCCATTGGCAGCAGCCCTCGAGGCCATCTTGCCCGGCCACTGCCTGGCAGAGACCACCTCTGCCACCTCCTGGCCCGGTTCTGCCCAGGGAGCCCCAAGCCCACACCCCCCTCCATGGTGGGAAGGCCTCTGAGATGGTGTGGCTCAGTGCGACCTGACGCCTGCTTTCAGGGTACCTGCTCTTTCGAGACTTCTGCCTGAAACACCTGGAGGAGGCCAAGCCCTTGGTGGAGTTCTACGAGGAGGTGAGCCGGCCCCTGCACTGCCTGGAGGAGGGGACGAGGTTGGGTTGCTTTTGCTGAATTTACAAGATGCTTGGCACCTCTAGGCTCCCCTAAGCCAAAGGTTACCCTGGGGGATCTTGTCCTCTAGATCAAGAGATACGAGAAGCTGGAGACGGAGGAGGAGCGCCTGGCCTGCAGCCGGGAGATCTTCGACACCTACATCATGAAGGAGCTGCTGGCCTGCTCGCACGTGAGTGCCCGGACCTGCCTGCCGGCCGGGAGCGACCTGGGCATTGGGAAGGGATGGAAGGGCCCTGCGGAGAGTTCACAGCCATCTCTGTCTTCCCCAGCCCTTCTCGAAAAGTGCCACTGAGCATGTCCAGGGCCACCTGGTGAAGAGGCAGGTGCCTCCAGATCTCTTCCAGGTGTGTGCTGACCTACCCCCCCGCCTCCCGGCCAGGCCAGGGTCCCCTCCACCCGGTCAAGGAGCCTGATCAGCTCCCACTCGGGCCCAGTCGCCAACCTCTGCCTTCTTCCCTTAGCCGTACATCGAAGAGATTTGTCAGAACCTCCGAGGGGATGTGTTCCAGAAATTCATCGAGAGGTGAGAGTGGGTGCATGCAGAAGAGGAGAGGAGAGGGAGGAAGAGGCTGTCCTGCGAAGGGTGTGGATGGCATGGAGAGGAGCCAGCCTGCTTTAGGCCCTGGGCAGGGGGTGCCTGGGCCCGTCTACACCCCAGTGAAGAGAGTCCTCAGAGGTTAGGCAGGCCAGGTCATTGCCTGCCCACACTCCTGCCATCCTCAGCCCAAGCCTGTCCCAGGTGATTCTCCAGGGACCATGGGACCACCTGTGAGCCCTTCCCTCCCACGGACAATTGAGCATCCTGCTGGGCCTATCTGGACTGAGAAGCGTGAGGGATGGTTCGGGTAGACACGAGAGGACACACTGCCCCAGCCCCGCCCTCATGGCCAGAGCCCACCTGGTGGGTGGGAACTGTAGGCAGCTGTCAGCTTGATGGAAGGAGTAGCCATGGAGTGGGCCTCGCGGGGAGTGAGTGCTGTGTCACTGGGGCATGCAGCATTGTCAGCGATACGGCGGCAGGAAGTGTGAGGCTGGAAGACCTCCTTCTAACCTATCTGATCGCAGCAGGAACCTGCGTGTAGGTGGCCAGGCCCGCTCAGGCCGGTGTTCCGGGCAGGGGCCCCGCTCGGGATGGCACTGTTCCTGGGCAGTTCTGGAGAGGACACTGAGGCTCAGGACCCAGGGAATGGCAGAGGGATGGGGCGGCTCACACCTGGCATCACCCCGTTTACTTTCTGAGGTTTCCTGAGCCCCGGTTCTTCTCTTGCAGCGATAAATTCACTCGGTTTTGCCAGTGGAAGAATGTGGAGCTCAACATCCACGTGAGTGGCCTGGGTGGGTGTGGGGGCTGGACCCCAGGGCTGGTCCAGGGCTAGGCAGGTCAGCGAGTCTGCCAGCCTCTGGTGTGGTGGCTGTGGGTTCAGTGCCAGGCTCCCCGTGGGGGTGGCTCAGGCAGGTGAGCATGTGAGGGTGGCCGTGGGCAAGGGGCCCAGGCAGCCTGCCGTGACCCCCGTTGTTGTCGCCCCTGCAGCTGACCATGAACGACTTCAGCGTGCACCGCATCATTGGTCGAGGAGGCTTCGGCGAGGTCTATGGGTGCCGGAAGGCCGACACGGGCAAGATGTTAGCACACTCGAGGGAAGGGAGGGCCCCTGGGGGTGCCCTGAAGGCATGGGTGTCCATGGGAGAGCTGTGGGGGCATCAGGGTCCCAGGAGCCAGGTGACAGGGTCCTGAATGGGCAGATGTCTGCAAGGGGACATAGGCTGGCTAGTCACTCCATGCCACTGTCTCTCCACATTCTTACCCCCTGAGCCTCCCACCCATCAGCACTTCCTCTTGCCCTCACTCTGTCTCTGTGTGTCATAAGCTTATTGTGGTGCCCAGAATTCCCCAAAAGGGCTCGGAGGACCCCCCGACCCCGACCCTGGGCCCCAGAGCAGCCTGGACTCTGCACGACAGCGCCTCTGGGCTGACTCAGTGGCCCCCTCCCCGCAGGTACGCCATGAAGTGTCTGGACAAGAAGCGCATCAAGATGAAGCAGGGGGAGACCCTGGCCCTGAACGAGCGCATCATGCTGTCCCTCGTCAGCACCGGGGTGAGCGGGTGGCCAGGTGGGCCGGCCACCAAGCAGCCTTGGGCTCTGGGACCTTTGGGCGGCTTCTGCTGACTTCCTGTCCTGTCCCCTCCCAGGACTGCCCTTTCATCGTCTGCATGTCCTATGCATTCCACACGCCAGACAAACTCAGCTTCATCCTAGATCTCATGAACGGTGAGTGCGTGGCCTGGCCCCAGGCGGACCAAGAGCTGGTCTGGGGACTGGGACAGGGAGCTGAGCACTTCCTCCCTCAGGCGGGGACCTGCACTACCACCTGTCCCAGCACGGGGTCTTCTCCGAGGCCGACATGCGCTTCTACGCGGCCGAGATCATTCTGGGCCTGGAGCACATGCACAACCGCTTCGTCGTCTACAGGGACCTGAAGGTGAGCCGCCGGCCTGTGCCTCCTCTCGGTGCCCCTGGCCCACTAGGCCATAGGCGTGGCGTGCCGGGGACAGGGCCAGCCGGCTCCTCCCCGAGGCACCCTCCCGCCCAACAAGCCATTTTCTGAATTCAGATTGTGATTGAGGAGGGGAGGGAAGGAACCTGCCCAGGGCCTGGTCCCTGGACACCCATAACCCTTGAGAGTGAAGGCAGCGACCCAGCTGGCACCTGCCTGGCTGGGCCCTGTCCTGAGCTGCAGGGGGCAGCTTACTGGGATCCCTCCACAGCCGGCCAACATCCTGCTGGACGAGCATGGCCACGTGCGCATCTCAGACCTGGGCCTGGCCTGCGACTTCTCCAAGAAGAAGCCCCACGCCAGTGTGTGAGTGCCAGCCCGCGCCCGCCCTTCCCAAACCCTCTGCCAAGCCCGCTCATGGTCTCTGCTTCCACAGGGGCACCCATGGCTACATGGCCCCCGAGGTGCTGCAGAAGGGCGTGGCCTACGACAGCAGTGCGGACTGGTTCTCCCTGGGCTGCATGCTCTTCAAGCTGCTGCGGGGGTGAGTGGTCGTCCCACACGGATGGGCGGGACCGGCCAGAGCAGCCCTTCCCTGGTCCAGGTAGGCGGGTGGGGAGGAGCCCACAGCCACCTGCGTGTTAGGCATGGCATCATCCCTGGCTTTGGAGAAGGACCATGGATGCTCCCTGCCTCAGTTTCCCCATTCCTGACCTGTGACTTCGGCCTTTGTCCTTTCCTGCCCAGGCACAGTCCCTTCCGGCAGCACAAGACCAAAGACAAGCATGAGATCGACCGCATGACATTGACAATGGTGAGTGCGGGGTTCCAGCCCAGGGTGCTGTATGGAGGCCGTGGGGCCACAGTGGGGTTGGAGTCTCTCAGGGGCATCAGGGTCATGGACTCTTGGTTCTCATCCTCACTCTGCCTCCTGCCCTGTGGGCTCCTTCCCTGTATTGTCAGAGCAAACATGCCCGCTGGGGGTGGGGGAGTGAGGAGGCTGGGCCTGTTTCTCGCTCTACCGGGAGCTGGGGCTCTTCTGTGGCCGCTGCTGACACCTCACTCTTCCCGCAGGCTGTGGAGCTGCCCGACTCCTTCTCCCCCGAGCTCCGTTCCTTGCTGGAGGGGCTACTGCAGAGGGACGTCCACCGGAGACTGGGCTGCCTGGGCCGAGGGTGAGTGCCGGGACCAGGGCCTCTGTCCCAGGTCTTGCCTCCCAGCAAGGCTCTGAGCACTCGGCTTGCCCGGTATCCAGTTCTCTGCTGTGGGCTGCTGGCCTCTGCCTGTCCCCCCTGAGGACAAGGCTGCGTCCCCTCACGAACCAGCCTCCTTTGGGGAACTCGCAGGAGGTTGGGGCACAGCCAGCTCTGAGTCCAGTATCCCCTGGGTTGCAGCTGCTGGAGCTGGCTGGTGACTGGCTTCCGGAGGGGCCCTTGTAACAAAGACGGTGAGATCAGATGATGATGATGACAGCAGCTTTTTATGTTTATTAAACATTTACTAAGTGCCAGGCATGATGTTGCAAGATGTACAATATTAAAACTTACAACAGCCCTACGAGACGTGGGAACTGCTGTTCTCCCCACTGGAGATGAGGAAATAGGTTCAGGTTTAAGGAACTTGCCCAAGGTCGCAGAGCCGGAAAGTGGCCGAACCAGGAGTTAGTTGGGGCCACCTGCCCCGCACCCGGATAGAGCCTGGATGACCCGCGTCTCCCCACAGGGCCCAGGAGGTGAAGGAGAGCCCCTTCTTCCGCTCCCTGGACTGGCAGATGGTCTTCCTGCAGAAGGTAACGGCAGGGACCGGGGCCAGGGCCGGTGGTGCTCTGCAGTCCCTGCCCCATGCTGATGCCCAGCCCTTGTTCTGCCATAGTACCCTCCCCCGCTGATCCCCCCACGAGGGGAGGTGAACGCTGCCGATGCCTTCGATATTGGCTCCTTTGATGAGGAAGACACAAAAGGAATCAAGGTACTGGGCCTTGCACCTGAGCCCAGCCCCAGGCATCCGCCTCCCTTCTCTGTCCTGGGAGACGCTTTGGCCAGCCCTGTCAGCGGTGGGCCTCAGGCTCCTTCCCCCAAATGCCCCTGGGGGTGCATCAGATCACCCTGCCCTAGTCCCTTGGGCGGGACATGCCCATGGTGATGGATGCCCCTGCCTCGTCCCCACGGCGCAGTTACTGGACAGCGACCAGGAACTCTACCGCAACTTCCCCCTCACCATCTCTGAGCGGTGGCAGCAAGAGGTGGCAGAGACTGTCTTTGACACCATCAACGCCGAGACAGACCGGCTAGAGACCCGCAAGAAAACCAAAAACAAGCAGCTGGGCCACGAGGAAGGTGAGGATCGGTGGCCGCCGTGGGTACCCACTGCCCACTGTATAGATGAGAAACAGGCGTGGGTTTCAGGATCCCAGCCAAGGTCACTGCCAGGGAGCAGCCGACCAGATTCCCAACCGGGCGGGGCCTCTCACTCTCTCACCGCAGATTACGCCCTGGGCAAGGACTGCATCATGCACGGCTACATGTCTAAGATGGGCAACCCCTTCCTGACTCAGTGGCAGCGGCGGTACTTCTACCTGTTCCCCAACCGGCTCGAGTGGCGGGGCGAGGGCGAGGCCCCGGTAAGGATGGGGCCAGGGGCGGGTGCCGGGGGCGGGTGCCGGGCTGGCTGGGCTTGGGCTGTTCCCTCACCGCCCCTGTCCGTCCCTCCCTGCCCTGCAGCAGAGCCTGCTGACCATGGAAGAGATCCAGTCGGTGGAGGAAACACAGATCAAGGAGCGAAAGTGCCTCCTCCTCAAGATCCGCGGTGGTAAACAGTTCGTCCTGCAGTGCGACGTGAGTGGGGTGTGGGGCCCAGCAGGCAGGGGCGTGTGGGGACTGCGTCGCCTTCGGGGACCCCAGGCCTCACCTGACCGACCCCCCGGGCATGTGCAGAGTGACCCGGAGCTGGTGCAGTGGAAGAAGGAGCTGCGTGACGCCTACCGTGAGGCCCAGCAGCTGGTGCAGCGGGTGCCGCCCGCCCGCCTTTTAAAAACCTTTAATTTATTTTGTCGAATTTTTATTATTTGTTTTCCCGCAAAGCGGAAAAGGTTTTATTTTGTAATTATTGTGATTTCCTGTGGCCCCAGCCCCCAGGGAGGGGCCCGCTTGCCTTGGCTCCTGCTGCCACCAACCCAGCCACTGTCCAGCCACCTGTCAGCCCTGAAGCCCCAGGGATTACCTGCTCCCAGTGTCTTCCTGTGGAGGGGAGAGCAGCAGCCCCAGCAGTCCCCCGCCCCTTCCTGGGGGTAGTGCCACCTCCGGCTCTGGGCTATGCTCTGTGCCAACAGCACGGTGGGGTGGCTCAGCGTCCTCCACCCCAGGGGAGGCCACAGCACAGGAATACTACCTGGATTTTTCCACTTCAGCCCCTCCTATGACAGAGACACAGCCCTGCACTGTCCTGCCTCCAGCCAGTTGGTGAGGAGGAGCCCATGGTCTCCCTGACGCCAGCGCCGCCCAGTGATCTGGACTCCTGCACCCTCACTTGGGAGGCGTCCCTGTGTCACTGGCTGCTTCCGTTCCCACCTTCCCTGGACACTGGGGCTTGGCCAGGAGGGTGGCGTTGGCAGCAGGTGCTGTTGCTGTCATGGCAGCCCTGCCCTTCCTCCCACCCCGAGCTCCCAGGCTCCAGGACCACAGAAAGGCAGCTCTGGGCTGTGCCACACTGGCCTAACCTGGGCCTGAGGTCCCCAGCCCCTGCCCCCATCCGTACCGGGGCCTCGCCCTTGCCCCGTGACTCTGGACTGGGCAAGGCTTTATCTGCCCAGGACCACAGGGGCCAGCCTGGGTGGACTGGGCTGCACAGCGAGAGGGGCCGCTCGGGCCAGCCCTCGCCACCCCAGGATCGTCAGTGTGCCCCATGGGCTGTCCAGCCCCCAGCCACATGTCCTGTCAGTGCCACTACCCACAGGGCGCCACCTCACCCGCCGCATGCCCCCTCGTGCCAGTCACGCTGCCGTGTGTGGTGTCACGCCTTCTTCCCCAAGGGCTGGGTTGGCTCAACCTCCCCTCCTATCTGCTCACTCCCTGGGGCGTTTCTTTGCCGATTTTTGAATGTGATTTTAAAGTGAAAAAATGAGATTATGCGTTTTTATAAAAAAATGGTGCCTGACTTTGGCTGTGTCAGACTCTTTTGTGCCCAGTGATCGTTTTCAGCCACCCTTGGGCTGAGGCATGAGGGGAGAGGGTCGTGGTGGTGCCAGTCCCTCCACCACCACGGCAGGCATCCAGGGCCAGCCTGCCCAGGCCCAAGTCCTCCACCAGGGTGTCGTCGGAGCCTCCCCGCCCCTCCCCGGTCCCACCCTGGGGGAGCAGAGAGGGTCTTCCACCCCTGCCCCGGGAAGCAGGAGGAGGTATCCGAATTTCGCTTCTTGGTGTCACATTTGGACTGAACACCCCAGCCCACCAGGCACAGTGCTGAGGGCAGACAAGCACCTCTGCCTTCAGGGCCACAGTGAGCCTCCGGGCCCTGGCCCTCCGGCTTTGGCCTCCCCTCTTGCCTTGTGCTGGACCCCGAGCAGCAGTCTGTGAGGCCCGAGGGACTCCCCAGAGACTCCCCCACAGGCCCCCATGGGTGATGTCTGTTGCTGCCCACCCCGTGTAAGGTCCTGCTGGGCAGGGTTGAGGGGCAGCACCACCAAAGCACAGCATGGCAGGCGGCGAAGGAAGGCTGCTGGGGTGGAGGCTGAGACTTGAAAAGGGCCTTTGAACTGGGCCTCCAGTGTTGAGGTGGGGAGGTGGGGGGATGTTTCTGATGCAGGGATGGGCCAGGCGGTCGGGAGTGGCTCCAGTTGGCAGGAGCACTGTGGGAAGGAGCCAGGCCCGGGAGGCCCTGAATGCCAGGCTCAACCTGGCTCAGAGCCCAGTGCGCACTTAGTGGCTACAGAACGAAGATGGGAATGGACGTGGAGCCTGAACTTGGATGGGCTGTGGCCGGGCTGGGGCGCTGGGAGCAGCTGTAGAACAAGTCACTGATTACCATGTGCAGGGGGAGTGGAGGGAGGCAGAGGATGGGAGGCAGGGAGACAGCTTAGGGCTGCTTCTGTCCAGGGAAATGATGCCATAATGGCAGTGGTGGAGGTTGGATCTGGAAGAGATGCAAACAGGCCAGATGGGAAGAACAGGGCCCATCAGGAATGGGCAGGACTTGGGAGAGAGAGAGAGATGGAGTTCAAGATGGCACCCGGGGAGGTCTCTGGTGCCACTGGGAGTCATGACAGCCTGGCCTGAGGGAAGAGGGTGAATGCGGCCAGATCTGGTGGCTGCCTCGTCACCCAACCAGACCAGCACCAGACGCCAGGCCAAGGCAACAACGCCAGCGCTAGGCCAGGAGGCCTGCACCTTGGTTCCGCGTGGGTGGAGGGGCCGACTCTGATTTTGAAACTCTCCTTCCTCTCCTGACACTGGCAACGAAGGGCAGCCTCTGCTAAAGGGATCCACGCGGCGGGTCAAAGCCGCTCCCCGTGGACAGTCCTCCACCAGGAGAGGTCTAGAGCTAGCCAGGCCTGCCCTTCCCACCCCCAGCACTCCTGTTCCTGCTCCAGGGCCTGGGGGCCGCCCCCTGCATGGCTGGACCCAGACCTGAGGTGCAGCCACGTCCAGACCCGGGCCCAGGTCCCTGCTTCACGCTCAGCTGGCCACCCTACAGTGGCCGGGGGTGGGAAGGCGGGAGGCGGGTGGGGGAAGGAAGGGGACCGGGCCCAGCAGGAC